AATCACCGGAGACTATTGTTTAGGAAAAGTCAAGTTTAAAAGAAATGAAGGACTTCATTCGCTTTTTTACGCTAAGAAACTCTGTGTTTTTATGTAATAAAGTTACTTTTAAATCCTTATGTTTTATTTATTATTTCCTTCAAACCTAATTAATATTATATTTAAGGCAACGCTAACATTATAGTTAACACTATTGAATTACAATTTAGTGTTAAAATAGGTATTTTCAGATATAAATGTTAAAAACATATTCATAACAAAACCAATTAAGTAAAGACTTGGAAGCAAAAGCAGCAAAATCCACATCTTAAAAGCAAAACTAGCAATGTCCAAACTAAAAGCTTGTGTAACTACTAAAATAATGAGTTCTAAGAACTAATTAATTTTAAATATTCATTTTTAATATATTGGAAGGTAGAGAAAAATTTTCAGCTTTCTATCTTTGGTTTCACCACCTCAAATTGTATTTTGGCTCTCCTGTAAAATTTTCAGGAGTGGAGATTGCGGCTTTTGCTTTTAGCCCCCACAAGTAATGTATAGATAGCTTGGTAAGATGCATGGTTTGCTGCTTTGCAGATGTTGTTTGCTTTGAACTCTTGATTTTATTTTGTTTGCTTACATGTTGTTTTTTATTATTTGATGTTTGATTTGTGCATGTTGAATTGTATATTGTACAGTTTGTTACAAATTCCTCCCTTTGTTTCAATTTTATTTTACGTTGGAAGGAGTTGTTGTAAAGTTAATTTATGTTTCAATAACCAGAAGATTTGTTATTTGTTATGATTTAAATTTAGAAGGCATGAGGAGATGCTCACCAACAATAGATGATGAACATTATCAGAGTTTGGGTTCGAGTAACTTTAAGATCGTTCCTGTAATTTTATCAATGAATAAATTATCTATTATTCAATTATTTGGACTATTTCATGCTATAATAATGGCCAAATAAAATGATTTATGATTTATGTGGAGTAATACCTGTGGTTGACGATATATCAGATTACCTTTCACCTTTGTAGCTGTTTGTCTTCTTATCACTAACGTTATAATCTAACTTTTATAATTTATAAAAATACTTACACTGTTTAGTATATGTAGACGATGACTGAGTAAATTTAGTTTTATCTGTTGGCAATACTAGAAAATGTCGGCTGTTGCAGAATCTGAAACTATAGCAGCTGTTCTTTAATCAGTACAGTTACAGTAGCTTTAGTAGTGGCGTAGTGGCTTTATTAGATTTTTTTTGTACAAGTTCGTGATCGTGATCAGATGGATGGATTTCCTTTACTGCCATATTTGGGGTTAGGTTTCAATTTAGTTCTGCCGTTTAGTAAGAATAAAATATAATCTGTTTTAATTGTTACTTGAGTTTTAAAGAATAAATATGTTATGAAGTGTATTATACAACGATGGATAGTATAAATAACTTTCGTGTAGCGGAAACAAAATTACAGCTAGGCCTTCATGTTAATGTATAACACATTCATTGGTATGGTATGTTTTTATTTAATATTTAGGTTAGAATTAGTTTTGTTAATTAAACATTACTGGAGTTACTTATTTGGAAAAAACTTAGTTTTGGGTAAAAAAATTTTAAGAAAAAAAATCAGACTAATATAATTCATTTGTACACACAACTATTAAAACATAGGTAAACAAGACAAAGAGTAGGATACTGTAGGCCTTCTAATGAGTTATGTGGCATAGGCATAGGTTAAGGTCTTTGAATAGACTGAAAATTTTCATTTCTTCCGTATCGTCCATATTGTAGTGAAAGCAGACACAAAATAACTGAATGGGTTTTGTCTTTATTCAAAAGACTAGCTGTGTACCCGTTCTACGCACGGGGATCTTATAGTATTCAGTTGAAACCTTATATAGGCCTACAGTATAAAGAACAGCAGTTGGTTTGCATATTTTCAGATATGCTGGCCAAACAATTATACCTAACTTCATTTTATGTTGTTTGTTGTTTATACTTTAATACTTTCTTATGAAATGGCGACCATACAATGTAGGTATTTGTTCCGGATCGGTATGACAATCAATAAAAGGTTAAATTACCTGTGTCCGCCGGTCGATCGTAATGTATCCTATTACAGGAGATGCATTTCGGTGAAATTAAATCGCCATCATCAGTCCTAATATAAGGTCTTAAACTTCCCCATTAGGTGCGTCTTGGAGTTTTTGAAACACATTCACGAACTGTACACTTATACACATGACGAATAAAACATAAACACACGGTAGGCCTACTTTTATTTTTACTATGGACATGTAGACGCGCGTCGGTCGTGTGCCGAGTCTCAACTGTAAACGCTCATTTAAAAAATGTAAGTTTCCCAGCCATATACAACACTGAATCAAGGTCTTTTCCCTTATCAAAACTCAAGAACAATTTTATGCACAAAGAATCTCTTTTTTAATTTACGGTTAACTTACCCCACAAATTATTGCACTTGCGATTATTTAATTAAATCCGTTATGGTATGTAAGGAAAAACGTTTTTAATCTTACTTGGTTTGAATTTGCTTTCAAAACGTGATAGGAATTGGTTAAACAACATTCAATGGAAACATACCAGACAGTGACAGCTAGAAGAAATAATCTTGATTTGAACAGCTGTTCATTATTTCATAGATGAATATGTGATAAACATTGGGGGAAAACTGTACAAAAAATTGCACAAAATTGGGTTTTTAAACGTCGGTCATTTTATTTACAAAGTAGTGACGCCATATTTTAATGGCTAAAGACAATCTTGCCAATCCAGTGAATACATTAAAATTATTTGGAACTTGATAGGTATTCTCGTTTTTTAGGAGAAGGCCGCGTAAAATGGCTCTTGGGCAGTGACAGACAGGAAGACAGACAGACAGAAATTTAGATGAGACTTGTTTCGGTTTCTTTAATGAATGAAACGTAAAAATAGTTAACCTAAAAGTTTATGGTTCTGAGCAATGTACAGACAAAACTCTAATTTTATTTATATAGAAAACTATTGGCTGAAAACCACTCGGCAGCAGTGTTGACTGTGTTTCTGTCTAGAGATATAAGATGCAAAAGGTCACAATGACAAGAGAGCTAGGTGATATCATTCGGATAGAGATAGAAATTGCAACCAGGATTCATAGGCAGATCATTTAGGCTATATGGCAATTAAAAACAGAAGGGGACCCAAAACAGAGCCTTGAGGTAGGTACCCCGCAGATGCTGGAGGACCATTCACCATCAGCATATAGGCTACCGATCTTATCTTCGATTTGTTTGATAAGACCTCAAAAGATTTAGAACACTGTTTCTAATTCCATAAAATTCCAACTTGCAGCAAGACAACACAATCAAAGGCTTTGACCTAAGATCAATGAAGGTGGCCCAGGCAAAATCTTTTTTTTCAAAAGCCCTGTGAATGTCCTGAACCATGGCATCAATTGCATCCACGGCTGCACTTTAGTTTACGTCCTACATTTACTCACATACTACAGTTTGGTTTGGTTAAGTTTAGAGCAGTTTCATTTTATAATCAGCTGTTCTGGTTGTTATTGTGTAATTTATAATAGTAAAATGTAGGACGTAAACTAAAGTGCAACCGCATCCACTAACAACTATATTATATTTTAAATGCTATATATTTTTAATGATTTAATACAAATAAACACACAAACTTTCACATTTATAATATTCCTAAGATAAGATAAGATGAATCCTAAGTTACACATATTTTTAAGCTTAAAGGGCTCTTAAGTTATTACTTATCACTTTTAAAATATTGAAGATGCATCAGCTGTTAGATATGTTACCTATCTAAAATTTGTTTACTTTTCAATGAGTTAGGCTAATCTTTTGATTATTTGTATAGCCTACATTAGCCTTTGATAAGGTTATTAGTTTTGATTCTGCCACACAGTTAAATTTAAATACCTACCTAATATATTTTCATTAAAATAAGCAATAAGTACCGGTACGATCAAGATATTCCTGTATATAATCAACAGTAAGTGTGTAGGCTAACTGTTTTTTAGAGTAGATTTAGAGACCCACATTATTCTCATGACTATTGTTGCTCAAGTGTGAAGAACGGGCATAACAACGTGTTAATATAAAAGTTATTTACAGCCTCTAACAGCTTCGAGGTAGCTGTGAATGTAGATTAAGCTACTCATTAGATCCTGACCAAAGTCAGTTGCTTGTCGATGATGCCTTTAATAATTGGTTCTGGCCAAGAGAACTAGATGATCTCAGCAACTCAGCTTTAGTTCCAATCCATTCCAAACAAGACTCATCCATCATTCTTCTTCAACTTAAAATGAGCACAATGTTGTGTTGATGTTTTATTTATCAAATATAGTAACAAACTAGTAAAAATATTCTCAAACTTATCCTTTGTTGTAAGATACTTTTCCAAACCTAAGTATAATATTTTTTTCTTTTTATAAAGATAAAGATTTTAATAAGATAGCCTAGCCTACTGTAGGTTTCATATCGGCATACTTCGGCCCAAAATATACAAAAATCTCCCCTTGGACCTAAAAAGCTGGGGGTCCTAGCTTTAAAAATAAACATGAAACATGTAAAATACTTTATTTTAACTAACAGCTTACTTAGCATGCAGAAGAACAAAGAAGACCTTAGACAGCCCTTATAATACTATTTCAAATGTAGCCTAATTAAACTTAGCGACATTGTCAATATGACAAACATTGTAAATCTTACTCATTAATAAAGCTTAATTTGGAGTTTCATTTATGTAGATTTTAACATAACACTTAGTGCTAAGTTATACCTGCAACAACCTAAGGCACCAACCTTTAATTTAAATGCACAATAGATTTCTTTCTAGATCAACGATCAATACCACTAAAACAAAATTATTGAGTATAAATTGTGGGTAAGACTATTTAGTATGGGGACAACAGTTACCCTTTGAAAAGATTCTTGTACCGGTATGTAAATTGCAGTTTTGTAAAATAAATATCTCATTACAGTAACATCTACGAAAACTGTTGATCAAGATGGCAATGATGAATGGAATGATGGTGAGTTTCATGCCAGAAATGGAACAAATCATCAGCCAGCTAGAGAGAGGAACAATAGTGACAAGGTTTTATCCGAGAAAAAGACCCGAGAAGAAGACATTGATGATTAGAAGAGAAACTAGACAAATTGTATGGGCAAGGACTGCAGCCACTAGAACTATAGAAGGAGCAGGTAAACTTTTGGGACAAATGTTTCTCTAATAGATCAATCAATCAATCAAGAAATTTATTTACACAATAATTGCCAATACATAGGATACAAAAGTGCAAAAACCACAAATGGTTTGTCTGCACTAAAAATATTGTTTCTTATTTACCATGTACAGTTTTTGTCAGTTTGAATCAGTAGCATGCAGTTTTATGAGTTCTTAATTGTCTCTTGAGTAATTAATAAAAAAAAAAAAGACAACAAAGACACAAATATCTGTAAGAATTCAACAGTAACAATAACAAATAAACTATTGAAATAAATAACAATAATATATTACTTTAACTTCAACTAAAAATGTAAATAAATTAAATGCATAATTGTAATAAACTAGTGAACCTGTGCGGCTCAATGCCCCGCAAAATTACATATGCATTAAGAAAACAAATTCGTTGTGTTATATATTGGCTCAACGTCAAAAATAAAATACAGTAATAATAAATCCTTAGAATAGAAGCAGTCCAGCAGTTTTCTAGCTGTTTGTGTATTTTATTTAGTAAGTGTTTAAGTATGTTATAGGGTAGTTATTTTTAAAGATTTATTTAACAAAGGGGGTCATAAAAATGCTGCTTGAAGAAAACACTTTTAAAAATAAACACTAAAAAAACAATATTTTAACTACAAAAGTAACTACGATTTTAGTCTTAAAGTTACCTTCAGGAAGAATACCCTCGTCAAAATTTCCCATAGTGAATATATGTAACTTATTAAAATATAGTTGCCCATGACCGAAATTGGTCTGGGTAAGTATAGTGCTGATCTTTAATTAAAGTGCTTAAGTTACTTGGCTTGGTGCTTTCATAACTGCAAATTCAAAATACACCCACAAGTAAAAAATTATCAAGTTATTGGTTGTTTAACCTATGTTTGTGTAACAACATTATTCACATGAAGAAGATGATTTGTTTGATTTGTCAATCAGCTGTTTTGTTTCAAATGAATGAATAATGTCAAAGATTTTTGATTTTAAATACATATATTATTATAGTATAGTTTTCTAAATCTTGTTAACTTATTCTTAACTAAATTTTACCATTCCCAGCATTAATATAAAGTAGTAAGATCCACTATGAGTAAACTTTAAAGGTATATAATCCTTGATTGAAATGTAGTATACATTAACAGTCATAATACACAGCAATTATTATGTAGTAGACTTTGACTATATGTTAAAGTAAAAAACATATGTTTCTGTAAATAAAAAATTATCTCCTATGTTATCCTTATGGAGAAATACGAAACTTTAAAGGGCTCCAGGGCCTCACCCTCTAATTATTTCCCTAAAAATAAAGTTTCCTGCACAACTTCACGTTACGCTCTTTCCAATGACACCAAAAACATGTCAATCGGTTCAGTGGTTTCGGAGGAGTAATTGTCACAAAAAACCTGCTTGCGTATTAAATAAGTAATATAGATTAAAATTGTAACAAATCATTCCAAACAAGTTCCTTTAAATAATGTTTAAACATGCTATAACTATTTGCAAAAACCATATGATTTGTGAGGTTATTAAAACATTTGGGAACAAAAACTTCAAGTGTTCTACTTCCATACTTATTCCTGTGCTTTGGTACAGAATAATAATTCCTTCTAACATCATATGGGTGATTATTGACTATTTTCAAGCTGTCATCAAATAAATGATCAGTGGATATCAAAAAAATATATAACTTACTAACAGGTAGCAGTCTAACAAAATGAAAAATCTTTATAATAATTGGTAACTGCTTAATGTGCACTGGAACAATACATTTGAGCGCTTGCTCCTGCAGATGCTCAATTTTCCTCAGAGAAGTCTTTGAAGCATTGCCCCATGCTCTCACACCATATCTTAATATTGATTCACACAATGACTGGTAAATCACCAATAGCACATTAAATGGCAGGACACTTTTTAAATAAAAAATTTTGCAAACACATGATCTGATTTTTTTACAAACATAATTAACATGTATATCCCATTTAAAATTACACATATGAGTATTTAGATAAGAGTATTTTTTTGAAATCACCTACTTAAATAGGACTAGTACAAATTTAGCTATTAGGTCAAGTTGAACAGGATGACATGTCTAGCAACCTTCGTTTATAATATATTTATCACTCTATTTTTTCGAAGATGCCCTACATGCTGGTGAAATTATAAAAATATATGAACAAAAAAAAGTGTACTGTTTGTTTAAGTTAACTTTTAGAGCTTTTTTATAAATCTATCAAAGTTTCTACATTGGTTACAGTTGAAATGAGGGAGGTGCACGAGATCCGGGCTGGTAAGATCTACAAAGACTTTGAAAGATGGCCGGAGGAGGCTAAGCGTATTGAGAGTCTTCGCTGTTTCATTGTCTTCTATGGGTCGGAATTCAAGCTTAAGTCTTTGTCCATAGCTGGTAAGTAACTCAATTAAATACTATCTATGGAAATGATTATCCGTTATAAAGATTTAGGCCTAACGCTATAGGCCTATTCTACTGTTCACTTTCGGGCAAATCATCAGGTTGACCATTGATGTACCATTGATGACAACGTCGTCGCAAAAACATTAATGTTTTCGAGGCTAAAACATCGATTAACATTGATTTTTTTCAGTTTATTGTTTGTTCTCTGTGCTGTCTCAGCTAATTAACCTATTAGCATACTATACTAGCATTAATTAAACACACTCCCTTGCGTTGTTTAGTAGGCTGCTAGAGAGGTTCTAGTTTAGCGGTTTCTCTTTTACACTTCCAATACAAAATATCGGTACTAATTTATTATACTGAAGAGCCGGCGTGCTGCCACAGAAATTTATCATAAATAAATTGATTTTAGGTAGCTGTTAATAAAACAAGCATTTCAAAAATGTAGATAGTTATCTCACTCACTCTACACTTGTTTAAGTGTAGTCCAGCGATGTTTTGGATTCAATATTTCATCAGTTTTTCAATTAAATAAATACAAAAATTCAATTTTTTTGTTAAGACCAACATTTAAAATTTCAACAAAACTAATACAATTCATTTATGAAATACCCCCGCCGCAGCAAACCTGCAGACTAAGCGAATTTCCATTAACCTGATTGGATTTACACTAAAATGCCTCCATAAAAATATCACATTTATTTCCTATTTAAATAGAATTAGTTTAACGAGTAGCCTACTTAGGTTTGCTGCAACGGGGAGGGTAAAAGTGTTTTATTTTTGTAAAATGTTAATTGTTTAGTATAAAATGAAAGTATTTCCCAAATTCGATCAAAATTTGTTCATAAACAAGCAAACTACAACAGTTGTATGAATTTGAACGGATGGTGTTTTTGGCCTCTAGGGACCTCAAAACGAAAAAGTAAATCGGTTCCGGGTCCAAGTCTTACCATGAGTACTACGGTAATAGCTTATTCCCTATATGGGAAATTCGCTAAAACATTGAATTTTCAATGCTTGGGCCAAAATATTGATGTACGGCAAAAACTTGATGTTACAAAAATGTCGGTAACCTACCATTGATGTAAAAACATCGAAAATTGATAGAAAAACATCTATGTTTCAAAAACTATCGATGCTCATCCCTACTATGAAGATTGATGTTTGAATTCATATCATCATACTAATATTATAAATGATAAAGTTTGTGTGTTTGTTTGTTTATTTGTTTGTTTGTTTGAAGTTCAATCACGCATTAACTAATGGTCGGATTGCGTTGAAATTTGGTATGATGATAGCTCACATTCCCGATTAACATATAGACATATTCTTACCTCAAAAATCCTTTCGGGCTCCACCCCAGCGGCTCTAGAGTTTCCCATGTTAACCTTATGAGTATTCATATTTTAAAGGAATAAAATAATGTTGCCAGCTGTTTCAACTACACAATTTGTTTCTATGATATTCAATAGCATTAAAAGGTTATACGGTTTACCAACAGGGTGCAGCACCATTAGTTCTTTAAACATTTATGACAACAGTTAATTTGAAGCAAGCAGCAACAAAAAAGCTGTGAGAACTTTCATTTTTCTATTGATTAGGTGCAGTGGTTGAGCATGGCTATGGTAAACGTGATGTATTATAGTATACAGTAGTAAATCATAGTAAACCAAATATTCTTAAAACGTGTCCTCTCCCATTGAAAACGCAAAGCACGAGTATTTAACTACAATAAGCATCAGCTAGTATATACATATAGACAATAGACAATTAATCTTTATTTGCACATTCATTAAGAATAGTAGTAGCGTCAATTTAAAATTTTTTCTAAATATGTGGTTGAGGTGTTGTTTAGTCAAAGATCTGTTGATAGTATTCTTTTAAAGAGTAAAAAGGTCGATTAATGAGCCATTGATGCAAAGCTGGTTTGAGGTCATCTTCTGTCTTGCTTCTTAGATCTGGAGGTAGCCTGTTGTAGATTTTCATTCCTGCGTATGAAGGTTTCTTTTCAAACTGTGCCGTGCGATGATGTGGAAGGTGTTTCTCAGGTTGTGTTGGTGCATTTCGCCACGCCTTGTAAGGTTATTTCTTACTGCAAACAACACAACTTCCTGTATGTAGAGTGCTACAATGGTAAGTACTTTGAGTGACCTGAATGTTTCCCTGCAGCTGTCGAGTCTGTGGAGTCCTGCAGTTATTCTGACTGTCTTTTTTTGTTTTGTGAGAACTCTTTGCATGTTAGTGGCAGAGGTTCCACCCCATGCTACAAGTCCATACCTCATGTGCGACTCAAAAAGTGCAAAGTATGCTACTTTTGTTATGATGTCATCTGTTGCATTTTTTATACGCTTAAGAGCATAGTTGCTTGAACTTAATTTTTTACATATATTGTCCACATGAGGGGTCCAGGTTAAATTCTTGTCGAGTGTGATGCCCAAAAACTTAGCTTCATCTTCCACTTCTACATCTGGAAGTCGTGACACTTCATGAGATTTACGGCCAAAAGCTATTTGAGTTGTTTTAGACATGTTTACTGCGAGATCATTGTTGTAGCAGTATTGGTAGGCCATACTGAGTGGCACATAGGATTTTACTTCTAGATTTTCAGCTAGTGGTTCATTAAACACTAAGGTTGTGTCATCAGCATACATAAGAATAAGGCAGGCGTCTCCTATTTGTTGCGGCAAATCGTTGGTAAAAAGAATAAATAGTACCGGACCCTTAACAGACCCTTGGGGAACTCCTCGATTTATTGGTTGAAAACTTGACCAAAAATAAATAAAAAATAAATAAATAATAAATAAATAATAAATAAATAATAAATAAATAATAAATAATAATAAATAATAATAAATAATAAATAAATAATAAATAAATAAATAGGCTATGTATTTGTGTATAAATGAGTTTTGAGTATATTGCTGTTTAAAGTGGAGCTAAAAGTGACTGAAAGCTGTTTAAACACTTTGTTAATGATCTATTATTTAACTCAGTTATAGTGGCTCACCAGTTTGAATTCAAATGTGAGCTCCAGCTGCCATACTAATCATAATCAAGGCTGTAGGCTTGCCTGCATATCAATCATGTAGGCTTGTGTATGGTAATCCATGGTAGGTCTACTTTAGAAATTTTAAGTTAGGCCTACATTGTTTCAATGCAAAACATTTTATGATCTTTTGCTGCAGTGATATTCTTAAAAACAATTTCATAAGTAAATTAGTAAAGTTTGATAAGTCAATGAAGACCTATTATGTGTGACCATTAAAATAACAAAATAGACCTTATTTAAAATTTAACAAAATAAAATATGGCAGTAAAGGACTAATTAAGTAGAACATTTTTTGGATTTATTGTTCATTACCACCACAAGAATTTCTTTAAAATATTTCTGACATAGTAGTATGGGCTATATGTCTTGCCTTAGTTATAGAATTTAGACCATTAGTTTAAAATGACCAATAAGTAGAAACATCCAAGGCTATTTTGAGAAGTTACAAAATAAATTTTAGTTGAAAAGTGCCAATAGTTCGAACCACGAATAAATGTAAGAGTATATTTTCTCAACAAATGTCAGTGATATGCCTACATGAAAAAGTATGTAGGCATATCACTGACGTTTGTTGAGAAAATATACTTTACCTTTATTTAATTTAAATGATCATGGACGTTAAATAGAATTAGAAACGAGACCAGGGTTTACACTGTCTCTTTACTGAACATATTAAAAGTGCCACAAAGTATAGATAGATAGCTATATTCATTATAAAATATAATAAAATTGACTTCTTCATGAAAAAAAATAAAACTAGAGAGAGATCAAATAAGCCCTGTAATAAACTTTGTTTTCCAATTATTGTTTGTAACTGAGTTAGTATGAAATGAATCACATCACAAAATATGGTTGCTAGATCAAATAAATTGATGTCAAGTGGATGATTTGAATGTCAAACATCACTTAGTATCAAATCACTCTAATATGATGCAAAACACTCTGAATTGCTATTGCATTCAAGTGCTTGATAGTATAATACTTTGGAATACAACCTACTATAAAAAAAGATTCATAAAACAATTATTTTCTAATAAAATAATGTATGGATATAAAAAATTATAATTATGTCACTTTTTATAACTTAAGTTTTAGTTCTTTTAGACCCATACTTTGTTTACATATTAAACTGAACATGAATATACAGGGCTAGTATGAAACAGATTTAGTCAACCTTAGTTAGCTTTCGCACTGACCAGGATCGGCTGGTCTTCGCCAGGATTATGTAGCGTCAGCGGTACAAGAAGTCTAGTAAAATCCTTCAAAATATCTGGAAAAAACACTTAAGCCTACTGTAATCTTTTTTGTTTGAAAAAAATTAACATTTGGACCAAAAATCACCTTAAGCTGCTAGTAAATTTATAATGGGATAGTTTGGGTTCTTACGGTGTGATACTTTGCCCATGGACCATGGACATGAAAAACACAAACATTTAGTGACAAAACAAGAAGTTAATACTGTAACTTCTGTATTTCTGCCATAAAAAGAGTGTGAATACCAAACTTTGTGTTTCTAGGTGCCATAGTTTGATATCTTTTTTGCTTTTATTTAAGGAATGTTACTGAAGCAGGTGTAACGGACACATGTTATGTATGTTGGTAGCATTGTCAGAGAAGGAGTGCGGTTTGTGGTTGCGTGGACTACGTCACCTAGTGCAGGACACCATGAATGCACCGTACCCACTGCAAGTCGAGCGGTGGCTACGCAAGGAGTTTTACACAATGGAAAACAACCGAGAAATGTAAGTAAACATATTCTCTGGTGTCTGTAGATATTTTGATAAGTAGAAAGTTTGTGTCTTGAAAATTGCATCTAATGCTATGATAATAAAAATTACCTTTTGTGTGTATTTGCTGGTGGCAATTTCTCATTTTTTGGAAGGAATTAGCTCCTTACCCTGTTCTTGTTCGGAGTCGATCCTCATAAACCAGTTAGGAGATTTCAATAGTTTGGAAGTAGATTCAGCTGCCCATGATCATAGGGCTTGGTCCTGGCTGAAGAAACATACGGTTTTAGTCAGTAAAGCTGCATAAGACCTTCATTCTTCACTCACCCCTTGCTCATATTCAGCTTAAAATACAAGCCAAAATAATAAATGTATAACCATATAGTATCCAATACTACAAGAACATATAAAATGACTGCGACAGCAAGAATGAACAAGTAATATATATCTTTTACCTTAGTTACCAAGACATTTTAGTCACCTCTTATCTGCTCGCCAGCAATACTTGAATCTGTTAGTGTTGTAGGCCTACTGTTTTTATTTATCAACTGGCTGTGTCTCCGTGTAACTGTTATTGCCTCTGATATATTTATCCAGGAAAATTTTTGCCATTTGTTGGTAATTTCAACCCTTCAAACTCTATGATTTACCATACACGGTGATTTAACGTTGCCTAGTTTTATCACATTATGTGGTTGTTGTTGTGCCTATCGGATCTAGATCAAAAAGTTGGAATTTATTATTTCAACTAAAAGCCTTGACACTTGACATAATCACAAGTTTTGGCATTATGATGAATTGTATGGATTGATAATTAACAGTGTTATATGAATGTAAAATTGTGTACATTTTTCAGAGTTACCCTTAAGGACCTCAAAGGTTTCCTGCCTCGAGTCAATTGTAAAATATCAACAAATAGATTAAGAGAACTGTTTCAAGAAGTAGATGTTCGGAAAAGGAACGAAATAGGATTTGATGATTTCGCCGAGCTTTACCACAAGCTTATGTTTGATGAAAGTGTAAGTACAGGAGTCAATAGTTCTTAGAACGTAGTAGTAAGGTAAATTAATTGTGATATGTTTAACTAAAACTAAGTGTTTAGCAGCTTTGTGGAAGAAGTAATTTCTATACCTTGAAGAGAAATTTAGTCTATGGGACAGTGAAAGATTCAAAGAATCTCAGTTGCCTAACTGCACCCTCTCAGCAAAATTTAAAATTTATTTTGTTACCTTCACTAAACTAAATTTACCTCTTCCTCATGTTAGGCTCTTTTTGATCTGAATAATAAAATCTTGTAACCAAAGAAGACCTAATTCATAATGATGTTTATGTTTCACTACAACTATTGTTCACATGCTAGTTGTGATACCGGCTGTTTAGTACTACAATTAATTAAATTATGATAGAATATTACAATAAACAATCTCTCCCTTAAAAAAATAAGTAATAAACTATTTTATACTCAATTCCACTTTCACCATGCCTTATGGGAGATAGTAGTACTATTATAATTACTGAAAATATTGTTTTTATTCGCATTTGGATCGCATCAACTGTCCTCAGGACCCTCATAAAAACGCTAAAGAACATTTGACTTATTTTAGTAAATTTCTGCTTTCCATAAGTCAACATTTTAACTTAATAAAGTGTTACTTTGGTATTGCTAAACTTACTATAGAAGTAAAAAGGAACGAGAAAAAGTAAAAAAGTCATGAAGTGCTTTGAGGGTATTGAAGCTTATGGCAGCTTTGTCGAGTAATAGATCCTCGAGTTTGAGCTTTTATTGCAACGTAACTAGTAGACTTAGAAAAATACAAGTAACATAATTTTTTTTCAAATTTATTTCTGCGTATGTGTGTTGCTTTCAAGTTTTATATGCGGTTTCAACTCAGCCTTTCAGGGGGTTGAATGATACAAAACCAAATTCGGTTTTGAAAGCAGGTTGAATGATGTGCTGCTAAAACCAGTCCTGGGCGGGGAGAACTCTGAATCGATAGCGGTACAAATTTCACGCACTACTGCGTTTCAGAACAACTTTGATTATACGTACATTTTAATTACTAAAGACCACTTAGATAATGTGTGACTTAACTTTTCATTTCTATCTTTTTAAGAGCTTAAATTCAAGCAATCATCTTAGTTTCTAACTTTTCCGTCCCTGGAATAAAATGCATATTCAAAAACCATAACAGATTTTTTTTTCTATTGATGAAAAATTCTTAAACTTTTAAATATGCTTTATAAGTATATGTTCTAAAATCTATCAAAATTTCATGACTATTTGATCTGTATTTTTTTTTATAAAATGTTAAAGTTACGAAGTTACTTGTTATTAGAAAAGTGTTGAAAAACCTATTTTCAAAACTTTTTTCATTCAACTTGCTGAAAGGCTGAGTCGAAAGTGCATAAAAATTTGAAACCAACACACATAAACGCAGAAATTAATTTGTAAAAACATTATGTAACTTGTATTTTTCTAAGTCTACTGATAACGTTGCAATAAAAGCTCAAACTCGAGTATCTATACTTTTTGACTCGACAGTAGTGTCATTGGGACACCATTTGAAGTCCAGTACAACCCCGCTAATCTGTCTCCTACAGGACCGGGTTGGTCGGAAAGTTTAAAAGGTCAGATTATCCGAAGAGCCTATTAAATGATTAACTGACATTTATTGTTCTGGTGTGATCGCAAAGGACAATGATAATGTTTCCGTTTCAGTCTTTTGACACGATCGGGGAGGATGAAAATAAATAACTTTTCTGATAAATGATATTTTGCCGCATCTTTGGGAGACGGTGATAATCTCCACTCGACCACAGCAAAACTCATGAATTTACCGCGATTACATTGTTACGGTGGTGATGGCCGGATCAAGGAGGAGTCGGACTAGGCTAGGTCCGGATTCTGTGGTTCTACTGTACATTGCTTATCGATGCTCTTTGTATGACGAATGTGGACTGGAGTCTATATTTAGAAATTTCAGCCTTAGTATAATTCACCTAAGAATTATCTTTGGAAACGAAATGTCTGTTAACATGATTGATGTAATCAGATATTCGGAGAGTCGCTGTCGAGGTACAGCAGCAGTGGGGACGGAATGGTCAGTGTGCAGATGTTGACCAGGTTCTTGTCTCAAGAGCAAGGGGACAATGTGGATGAAGTGAAGGTGTCTCGCCACATGAGAGAATATCTGCAAGACGCCCAGAGAGATGTGCAGGAGCCTTACTTCACTACTAGAGAGGTACTGTGCTCGCTATATCATCCATGTAGTGCAAGAAACATAAGTAGATAACTAGTGATAGGTTCAAAATTGTTCTGTCTAATGTTTTGATAGTGTCATTAAAATAACCATATTGTTTCTGATTCATCCAAATGCAGTACCATATGTAGCGTAGTATATCAATTAATATTACAGTATTTGTTTGTTGATTCGATTAATTTTCATGGTGAAAATAATCACCATGCTCAATTGCTCATATGAATGTTTTGATATTTGTCATAGACGATTACTCGTTGACTATAATAGTAATAATAAGCAGTAGATAAGTAATAAGCAGGAGATTACTCGTTGACCGCTGTAACGTTGATGGAAACGTAATGTTGGAATTACATCCTTGGAAAGTGGAAACTAAGGATAGTTATTAATTTATGAAGATTTTGTTTTTAGTCTAAAATGCTATAATATACAGTCTATTTGAAAAAATTGGATATCAAATTTGCCTCGGTTTGGATACGAACAATCGGAAAAAACCCGGTCGGATAACTGAATCTGACCCAAATTTTCTGATATCCCCACATCTCTAGTTAAAAATCAATCTTAATCAGGGAAAAGTATTAAGTCAGTGGATTAGTGAGAGATTAGTGTGCTACCCATGTGTCTAATTGGCTGTGGGAAGGCTTGGTGTAAGAGGCGCACTTAAAAATAAACAGTGACCAGCTTAGGTGGATTCTTTGTTAGATGCACATATATGATCAGGCATTTAACTACTCTGTACTTAGCCTTGCTGGGCGTGTACGGTTAAAATATGATCAATGACTTTTATTAATTTTCATTTTTGATAGGCTAACGTTTGTGAGATGAAACACTCAACAAATTTCTACAACTCCTTGTATTCTGATATAAATTTCAATGACATTTTCAGTTTATGGACTTCTTATTTTCCAAGCAAAATGAAATGTGGGACAACAAGTATGGCGAGGTTCATCAGGATATGACTCGGCCATTGGCTCACTATTGGATCTCTTCCTCCCACAACACGTAAGTGAAAATACCCTTGTTGCGGCAAACCTGCTGAATCAGAATCATCTTTGCTTTACAATAATCGAGTTTACAAATGGTGTCAGATTGCAATGGTGTGAAAATAACAATAGTGTCAGATTGTAATTTAGTGAGTTGTGGGTAAGATTTCCCGACGTGTCCTGGAGCCATGCTTTCAGTGCTGATCCCATCAAGTTCCTGTAATCAAGGGAAATTTCCAGTTTTATTGACTTTATCAAAACTGGTTCTTATAAATGAAATTAATACTTAGACCCATACTAAGCATAAATGACCTTTTCGGCTCAAAGTCTATTTGGACTAGCTACTTTAAAGAACACCCAACATTTGGTGTTTTGGTTAAATTGGCTACGGCAGACTCTAAAAACAGCAGCGGTGCTGAGCTGATATTTCACTATGATGGCTATGGTAGAGGCTACTTCATGTAGGGGAATTATTTAAAAGGAATAAAAGTAGTATCTGTTTACTAACACCATAATAATTATTATTTTTAGTTTCAAAAGTTTTGCAACTCTTTCAGTAAAAATATTTCGACAACACCATTGTTAATGTTATTTTTCAAATGATTGCATGTTACACAAGAAGGAATGATTTCTGAGTGGATCATCCCAGCAAGTAATAAAGTAACACTGGATTTTGGATCTGTAACCACTAACCAACCATGTCTCAATAATTAATTGTTACTTGATCTATTACATTGGCATTTTGCAGTTACCTGACGGGAGACCAGTTCTCCAGTGAGTCGAGTGTGGAAGCTTACGCAAGGTGTCTGAGGATGGGCTGTCGTTGTATAGGTAGGCAACAACTTTTTTCGTTTGGCCCTAAAACGCTAGACATGAGCCTGGCATCATTTTTCACATTACTTCAGGCTAGACCTAGGGGTTGCGGAGTTATCAATTAGGCCTAGATAAAATCCATTGGTAATTTGGTGGATTTGAACCCGGGACCTCAAGGAAAAAATTTCTGTTGCTATGTATATAGATGTACGTAGCAACAGGAATTTTAATTTCAATTTAAACTACAGTTGGCAGCACTCTTGTGTAACTTTTGAATTCAAACTGTAACTGCCAGTCTTCTTTCCTCTCCCTCCTGATGAAGTCCCAAACTGGGACGAAATATTAAGTTTTACCTTTTTGTGTTATGTGTTTTATGTAGGGGTCTGCGGGTCAGACTTTTTTTGTTCGGGTCGGGTCGGGTCGGGCCGATAATTTTGGTCCTCGGGTTTCGGGCCAAAATCGGGCCGGGCCAAAAATTATTAATTACCGGATTTTTTTAATTTTTTTAACTCCTATCTGTGTTTATAAGATTACTTGAAAATAACATATGGAAAAAGATTGTATTTATTTATATTATTTCATGTTCATAACTTATTTACAGCTTAGGAGTTGCCTCAACTGCAAGAAAGAAGAAAATAATTTGTTTTATCAAGCCATTCTTTCCCATTTTCATAACTGTTGAAATATCTAAACAGCTATATTACAACAAGTTTGTAATGGAACTTAATATAAAAGGATCATAAACAAATCAATTAACCTTATCACAAGTTTAGAGCCTGTGGACTGGCTTCAAGACTGCAAGCAAGAAGAAAATAAAAATTCTATGTTTCCACCATGCAATATGAATCATTCATTCCCTGCCTCCTAACCTCCTAAGTACAAAAACCTCACACTTACAATAGCATTATTAGTTACATCATCATAAATAAGGAATTATCTATTATTGGCATTAGTAGGCCTACAGCTTTACATAGGAATTATTTTTTATAGGGCCTAAAATAGTAATAGACTAAGAAACATGACAAGTGGAGAACTCATTGAAGAAAAGATATTGTGTAAACTAATTTACTATAAAACTCTAAAACAGTAAATAACACACATACATTGTTTATGGTATAGTTATAGTAAAGACTATAACTATACCATACTATACTATAGTATAGTAATACTATACTATAGTTATACTATAGTAACTATAACTATACTATAGTTATAGTAAAGACTGTTATGTAAAAATTGCATATCATGTCATACACAGTTATAGATACACAGTTATAGGCACAGTTATAGGTATTGCAAGAGATTAAAATCCTAAAACAACTGATTTTAGCTAATAAATGAAAAGAATTAAAAATCCATAAACTCAAGTCAAACAATATCACAATTATTAGGTACCCGAAAAGGAACTCTTAATATAATTATAGAAAATTATATTAAATCAAGAGAAAAGAAAGTTAAATGCTAATTTGGCAACATAAGCAGACAGCAGAGACATTATAGTGCCCTAATTAGCAACACAACTCAATGTTTTTATACTGTAAGTCAATGTTTTTGAAACTGTAGGGTCTTTTTCTCGGAAGGAAGGGTAGTAGAATGTAAACAAAAAACCATGAATCACTCACAGCCGGGCCCGGGGACACTCAAGGTTACAGACCCTCCCCCTCCCCTCCCCTCCCATCTTACACAACCCAAGCCAGGCCCGGGGACACTCAAGGTCATAGACCCTCCCCCTCCCCGCCCCTATTACACCACCAGGTTGTTCCATTTGCTGACAAAATGCAAGTAACGAAACAAGGAAGTAGAGACAAAAAGATATATTTTCTTTATTCAAAAATATAAAACTGTTACAGATAATTTCCAAAGAAATTAATTCATGGTACCTAGTTTGTGTCTTGTAAATATTGTATTGGATCTTAGAAATATCTTTTTTGAAACTCAATCTAACTTAAGAAAAAAATAATTTTACTGAAGAAAACTTTCATAAAATTATAAAATATTTAGGCCTAACCTCTTTGTAGACTTGTTGATACTTGATACTTAAAAAAAAAATGAAATGGTGACCATAAAATGCCGAACCAGACGTTCAGAAGTGTTGTTTTGTTTTGTTACTGAATGACAAAAAGGACAATAGGAAAATAAAAGAACAAGATACAGATCTGTACACAATATCAGATATTTCTTTTGTTTATAATTTATTATGTAAATAAAATACTAAAAATATAATTTAAACTAGGTATGGAATAAACAATAAATAATTAAACTGGTACCTCTGGATAAATAGTCTTTCTTTTGACTTTGTTTTCTTTGCACTGTTGCGTCACGGCTTTTGTTTTGTCAGTAGACGACTGGCTCTGGCTAGTGACAGTAAGGCAATAATTGCTCTGCTGTGTCTTTGTTCTTAAACGTGAGCAAACTTAATATTTAATTCTAATTTTAACATTTTAATTCCTCTGTAATAATATATATAAAGAGTGTTTCTTTGAAAATTACTTATTATAACTTTGAAAATAGCCTAATAATTTTTTTTTTTGGCCCGACCCGATCTTGGCCCGAACAAATCTCTGACCCGACCTGGTCTCTCGGGCCTTCCGCTGGCCCGACCCGACCCGAAAAAATCGGGGACCCGCAGACCCCTAGTTTTATGTGTGTTACCAAGGCTAATCTGGACCCTCTCTACCAGGTAAGCTAGCGGATCTCTATCCTAGTAGATAATAATCCTACTAGTTGAATTGTATCTTATAAGAAAATAAGTTCAATCTGTCCTTAAAAAAATAAAAACTGAAATAGAGAATAAATAGTGTGCTCCTGTTACAGAACTGGACTGTTGGGATGGGCCTGACGGAATGCCTATTGTCTACCACGGACACACGCTGACTAGTCGGATCAAGTTCCTGGATGTTGTTCGGACGATTCGAGAACATGCCTTCGTCACGTCTGAGTGAGTCAAATTAACTGTTGCAATGTTGCAATTGTTTTTATCTGTGTTTTTAACACTATTAGCATTTTAAAAGTTTGTGAAGGAACAGGCCCTAACCTAGGTATTGTTACCATGAAGTCAACATTTTGATAGAAAGATTCATATAGCACCATACAAATAACATTTGTGTACGGAATCGTCCCCAGATTTACTTTACTCTAATAATAATAGGTTAAATACCTTGTTTACGTCCTCAATCCAAGTCGTCTTTTATAATGACTATAGTTTCGGGGCCAACAGCCCCATTGTCAAATTTTCTGTCTTGTTAATTACTGTTGATAGCATTGGTCACCGTTGAAGTTCACATATACACATACACTGACACACGAAACATTTATATTTACACGTAACATTGAGAATTTATACTTTTGGCCGGCCTAAACAAAAGTGATTACATCGTTGTGTGGACCGGTACACTGACTGACTGATTCATGTTAGCCAATACCCTGGAGACGTTGACCTTGGCCTTGGGGGAGGGGGTGATCAGCTGTTTGTCACTATTTCTATTGTTCAATGAATCGATGCGATCGAACAGAATGTTGGAATTAAAAGTTAGTTTTTCGTTTAACACATCGTTTGGCGATTTTTTGAAAGCTTTATAAATTTCATAGCTTTCTAGGACATTCATCACAGGTCCTTTATTGCATTTATGTAAAATTTCTAATCCTCCATTGGAACTTTTTATGGAATGGTTTTCTAACTTTTTATGGAATGGTTTTCTTTTTGCAGGTGTTCGCACTATGAATGCAATTTAGGTTTAGGGAGATGTTCATTAAACCTTGTTCTAATGGAACGACCAGTTTGCCCTATGTATATACTTGGGCAATCATTGCAATTTATTTTATAAACACCCGTGTTAATTTAACAGGACAGAAAATTTGACAATGGGGCTGTTGGCCCCGAAACTATAGTCATTATAAAAGACGACTTGGATTGAGGACGTAAACAAGGTATTTAACCTATTATTATTATTATTAATCAATCCAGGAGGCAAACATGGATAAATTACTTTACTCGTAAAATATTCTCTAGCTAATACTGTTTGAAATTTTTATTAATTTCCCTCAACAAAAAGAACTATTGGAATTATTTTGGAACTGGAATAGGATGATCATGTAGAAAAAAATTTAAAAAATTTGAATTTTTGACAATTCAATTAATTTTATTTTGTTTTACAATAGTCTTTATTGGGTATGCGTCGAGAGCTTGTATCAGTATTTAGTATTTTTATTTCTATTATAAATAGTAATACTGATACAAATACCCGGAAGTGGACAACAAAATGTTTGAAAAATTAATTTTGTAGCCATTAATTTCCATTTATCATCTCAATAAAATCTTATCTGTTACACAAACAAATGTTTGTCTTGTGGAGAGCTACACGAGGAAAAAAGTTTGGAAAAGACTGATCTCTAGTAACCCTTACTTTATAGATATCCTGTAATCCTGTCAATCGAGGACAACTGCTCGCTGCTGCAGCAACGCAACATGGCCGCCACCATGGTGGAGGTGTTTGGAGAGCTGTTGTTGGTACATCCGGTGGAAAAAAACGAGACTAAGCTGCCGTCGCCGGAACAATTAAGGCACAAGATCTTGCTGAAACATAAGAAACTGCCTGATGGTGTTGACGAGGCCGCTTTGCTCATGAGATCTGATGAAGGTAAGAGATATGGCTGTGTGTGCAATGGACTAGGTCATTTTGTTTTAAGAAAACACTTTTAAACATGAGATATGGGGATAAGGAAAGTAAGAGTTATTTCCTGCCTTCATTTGAAGGCTTTTTTTGCAGGTGGTTTTTCAGAAAATTAATGGAGGATAACCTGGTATATATTGAATCCAAGATAGGGTAAGGCACCCAATAAGGTACCGGCAAAAGATTCTATAGAAAAGGAATTTTTTTATAATTTGAATTTTTCCCTTTTTAGTTATTGGTGAATAACGTTTTTAACCATAAAATTAAAGTAAATTTAAATCAACTCACACTTTATGTTTGTTGAATAAAACTACTGAAGATTTGTATCTTGAGGTTAATTAATTCCGTGATGCTGGATAACATAGCTTAGGTAAAGAGATGCTTTAATAAATGAGCTAGGGACCATCCCGGACCCACGGGTGAGAGAGGTTTTAGATTTGTTGGGGGTGCACTGTGTATTATATCTTGTGAAGCTTTAGGCATTTCAGACTAATTAGTAACAAAGTTAGAAGAATTTAGTTATCAGTAAAATGATGTAGTCTTTAAAATTTAAACAAGCTTCAGGGGAGTTCTGGAGTCAACTATATTCTGAAATTCCAGTTCCCACCTTCACAACATTATTAAATGTTATGATTATTAAATGTATTTGACTTAACTTAGAATTTCATGCAAGTGAAGTAAGAAATGTTTTTCATTTCTAATCTTTGAACAGATTAATATTAATAGTTTATAATGATATTATCTCAAATAGGAACACAGAACAGGTACACTGATCTGAATTCATTGTAAATTATCTGCAGGTCGTGGAGAGATGGACTTGAGAACAACAGTGAAGAACGGAGTTTTGTACCTCGAAGATCCTGTAGACAAGGAGTGGAATCCTCACTTCTTCGTTCTAACTCAGAACAAACTCTTCTACACAGACAGCTTCCACGGGAACGAAGAGAACGATGACGACACCGAGAATGAGGATGAAGAAAACCACACAAGCTTTCAAAGACCTAAAGAGGTAATGTACTGTTTAGTCAGATTCATTTTCTCAACGAGTGATAGCATACAAACATATTCAAGCAGACCATTGAAATTGATAATTTCATTTCATTTATTTATCTCGCCATTTTTACATAACTCACAGACAAATTACAATCTTAGTTTAAAGCTGAAAATCACCGTTGAATTGTGGAAATATACTGCCACTTACTTCACTATCTGCCTGATAAAACTAAGGTATTTCTGAACCCAACCTTTGTAATTGTGAAAAATTACATGATTTCGAGTCCAGGTCAGGTACCAGTAGACTCCTAGAAATGGTATGAAAACTCTTGAAAGTTCAAATTAAATTTCATTCTTTTAGGGAGTGCCCAATGACGAGTTGCATTTTGGTGAGAAGTGGTTTCACGGAAAGTTGGCCGGAGGACGCAGCGAGGCAGAGGATCTCTTGCGCAAGTTTTCACGCCTAGGAGATGGAACATTCCTGGTGCGAGAGAGTGAAACATTCGTCGGAGATTACTCTCTCTCATTCTGGTAAGTGGATGTGGTAATGTCATGATAGGCAGAGATCAGAAGACTGTGGTGACCAGGGTTGTTACCCGTCCTTATTTCGGTCCCTTGTGCCCTCGTTTATGCCCATGTTAATCCACACAATATATTGGACAGATTATGCAACACAAAGAACAATTTGGAAAGACAACAGGGTAAAACAACAGAGGTATTTGCATAATAGCATTAGTCAATGATAATAGTTATACAGTAGACTCTCGCTCATCCGGATCGGCCTTGTCCGGACTCCTGGTAGTCCGGATCGGCAATCGTGATTTTTTTTAGCGGCACAGTACAGTAGAAGTCCGATTATCCAAGCGAAACAGGACCGAGACTACCTTGAATAATGAAAAAAATTGGATAACACGGCGGTAAAAATTATTACTGGTGGAAGTGCATATGCCCGGGCTATCATTACTGTGGACCTGGAACAAAATTCGGACGAAAAAATTATACCGGTGGAAGTGCATATGCCTGGGCTATCATTACTGTGGACCTGGAACAAAATTCGGCCGAAACAATTATTACCGGTGAAAGTGCATATGCCCGGGCTATCATTACTGTGGACCTGGAACAAAATTCGGCCGAAAAGATTATTACCGGTGGAAGTGCATATCCCCCGGGCTATCATAACTGTGGACCTGGAACAAAATTCAGCCGTAAAGATTTTTACTGGTGGAAGTGCATATGCCCGGATATCATTACTGTGGACCTGGAACTAAATTGAAAAAACGGCTATGTACAGTATTGTGTATTTGCTCGACTCTCGATAGTCCGGATTTTTCGTAACCCGGACCGGACGCCCGCCACATTAGTCCGGATGAGCGAGAGTCTACTGTAATTACTTCTATGGAAATTTCTACAGAGCCAGAAAACCTTTTGGGCAGTGTTTTGATAGTAACATAAAGTAAGTTACTCCCACTAATGTGTCACTACTTACTAGTGTTTGTAAAGTCATTGGTTTGGTTTTGTACAAAATTGTTTCTAATGTACGACAGTGTGTAAAATATAATACCAGACTTCACAATTTCCGGCATGAGTGTATTATTTTCAGCCTCTTATTTGTCTGATCCGCAGGAGACAAGGCAAGGTGAACCACTGTCGTATCCGCTCCAAACAGGACCGAGGTCAGACTAAATACTTCCTCATTGACAGCAACTGCTTCGACTCGTTGTACAGTCTCATCACACACTACCGCACCCATCCACTAAGATCTCAGGTAGGTTTAGCTTAAACTTATCAAAACTACCAACTAGTAACTTTACTCGGTGGTGAGCCGTGAATATCTTGAGTTCACGTCCCGGTAATGTCATAAAGTTTTTTTGCACTGTACTGGCTTTGCTTGATACCTTTCACATTCAGACCCAAGCCCAAGTGGACAGTTGAAGATTAAAAGACTGAGATTAAAACTGTCAACCTCTTTGAAAAATAAAAATAAAAAACAGAAGAAAAGAATTCTTTGAAGCTATTGTAGAACTGCAAGAAAGGACCACGATGTTCTAAGTTCGCCTCAATAAAGAAGGATTTCATTTCATTTCAGTTGAATAATGTTTCTCACTTTACCATTGATTATAGAAACCTAATTACAGTAACCCTCATCCAACATTGACATCACTAACTCCTCAGGATACCCGACCTACAGGGTGGCCACAAACCCGAAATGCCGGGAACATTGAGAATGATGGGGGAATTTATTTGACGTATCGGGGAAAACAGGAATTAATTATGTGTGAATTTTGAAATCTCACCCAGGAATCCTGATTTTAGTCTGCCGTCATGGCAAAATCAAGAACATCTTCCATTGTCACGGAAAAAACTACAACTGTTTAGGCTAAGTTAGCAACATTAACATTGGATGGCTTGGTTTGAATATATGCTGTGAGGCTTAATCTTACCACTTACCAGTTTGTTTGGAGTTTCAAGAGGTAAAGTTTGAGTACAAATGTTTTGCAGGAGTTCCTGATCACGTTGAAGGAGCCAGTTCCCCAGCCCAACAAACACGAGGGGAAGGAATGGTACCACCCTCTCGCTACTCGCAGTTCTGCCGAGGATCTCCTCAAGAGGGTGCCTCATGACGGAGCCTTCTTGGTCAGACCTAGCGACAAGGATCACAATGCGTACACCATCTCATTCCGGTCAGTGAACCACTACAGTCAAAATAATAATCTAATACTTTGTTTGAAGTTTATTTTCGGCTGAAGTTTGTGTTGTTTGTGATATTATTGTAAATATTTTCAATCACAATTAAAATGTCAAGAAAATTGTTTTCATTGATGGAGCCTTGCTTGAGCGGTTTTGTACAAACGGTATCTTTTGTATGTCCTCTATATTAATTGGTGATTCCTTTCATAGTTTTCTTGTCTCTTGTTTTAATTTCTATAAAGTTTTCTGTGGGGGTTTTCTTTTGTGATTTTCCGTCTTTTGCTAGATTTGTGTATTAGTACAAATTTAATCTTGACATGATTCAGGTACTTTCTCGGAAACTAGTTTGGTAACCATCAATCATGATGGAAAATATTTACAATAATCTCTCAGACAAGAGAATTTCATTATCACTATACAGAATCAGAAATGCTTTGTTCATTATTTATAACATATATAAATACAAAATGGCGTCAATAACTTAATATCTAGTAATAGTTAATAAAAAATGTTCTTTGAAAGAGGAGTGTGATTTTTTATTACATACACATTCAATTTCTTTTTGAAGATCTTGAGCTTATTTCCAACACAAATACAAGGCACAAGGTCTTTTGACAGAGTATAAAATAACCTACCTTCTGCAGCTATGGGATTTTTATTATAAAACTCTAGATTATGTCTCTAGATTGCTATGTAGTTACAATGTCGAGTATTGTAGCTATGTACAGCTCCCAAAATTGGAATTGTGTTCTTATTTATTTCAGTCTTTAGAGTCATTATAGTTTCAAAAACGTATAATCCATACACTATGAAGTTATTTAACTTAGCAAAATGCTGTTTTAGTGATTGGTTGTTATCTTAGTTTAAAATAATACATATGGCTATACAAGGTTTCCATTACAATTGGTAGGGTTTTGTGATTTGTAAAACTTGTGTGAGAAAAACTTAACATTACATACTGGTACCCTTGGGGTGCTCTAACAGTTCTGTATCAGGTATTCTGATCAGTTCATTTTTATAATTCATAATGGTAAATATCAAAATTCCTGTAACATTGATGTGTTTGTTGTTTGACAGGGCGGAGAAGAAAATCAAACACTGCCGGATCAAGGTGGAAGGGCGGCTTTACACCATCGGCACCGTTCAGTTTGAGAGTCTGGTGGAGCTGGTCAGTTACTATGAGAGACATCCGTTGTACCACAAAGTGCGACTGTGGTACGCGGTCAGTGAAGATCACGTGCATCGGCTGGCTTTGGTGAGTCTCCAATTCCATACTTATTTTAAATTTTGTGTTTGTGGTTGAAATTAGTAATCCATTTTGAGTTGTATACTGCCTAATTATGTGTATCAAATAGTCACAGTCACTGTAACTCTGCTTTAAAGTCATCAGTGAGTTTGCCAATGGTCAGTCGCGTCCCACTCCGCTCTCCACCAACCCATGTTTTGTACGAACTCCAACTATCCGGACCAATTGGTACCATACCTTATTCGAATAGTTGGGTTTTCACTGTAATTTGGAATGCCTATTAAGTTTTTTATGCATTTTAAAGATTTTGTGATTGATAAATTTACGCATTTAACGCAATTGCGGAAGACGACGACAATGTATACAAGTCCGCAGGAGATATTCAAGATTTTATCGCAATCACAGAAGACAATGATGATGATTCCAACACCGCAAGAGATGATGATGATGTTTACATGACCGTGGAAGATGTTCAGGATTTTTCTGCGATAACCGCTTTTGCCCTCTGTCTTCTTGAATAACGATTATTGTAACTTTAGTTTTAGATTTAAAAAATCCTTTCTTTAAGCAATTTGAACGATCGGCTATTCGGAGAGTTAGAGTTTCGTTAGTTAGAGCTCTACTTCACTTTCAACAGCTGATTGCTTCCAGTGAATTTCTTCATATATTACAAGCCTTGTTGTAGTTTTTTTACTTTGAGATTTTTGTGTAAGTTTATACAGTATTTGCAAAATCAAGTAAGATTTACAAGCCTTTTGACTCTTACTGAATTGACTCTAAAAATAGTAGGGATATAAAACCTTTAAGTTTACTGAACACATGTTTTTCCTGTACAGTTGTGCAATCAAATGTGTGACTTTCGGGAAAAAAATATTCCCGAAATTTCAGGGAGGAATTACATTTGATTCGGGAATTTTTCGGGACAAATTATTTGATGCGATTGTTGGCGATTTTGCCGCTTCGCGAGTGACAGTGACGCCACTATCGCGAGAGATGTTCACGATAGTTCCGCAAACGCAGGAGGCGAAGTCATACCGACGATCGCTACGCGCCGTGACTGCGGAGTCATACCGACGATCCCGCCGAGACCGCGGAATCATACCGACCATCCCGCCGAGACCGTGAGTCATACCGACGATCGCGCCGTGACCGCGGAGTCATAATGACGATCGCACCGTGACCGCGGAATCATACCAACGATCACGCCGTGACCGCGGAGTCATAATGAGGATCGCGCCATGACCGCGGAATCATGCCGACGATCACGCCGTGACCGCGGAGTCATAATGACGATCGCGCCGTGACCGCGGAATCATACAGACGATCCCGCCGTGACCGCGGAGTCATACCGACGATCCCGCCGAGACCGCGAGTCATACCGACGATCACGCCGTTACCGCGTAGTCTTACCGACGATCATGCCGTGACCGCGATTCATACCGACGATCACGCCATGACCGCGAGTCATACCGACGATCATGCCGTGACCACGGAGTCATATCGACGAACACGTCGTGACCGCGACTCATACCGAAGATCACGCCGTTACCGCGTAGACTTACCGACGATCATGCCCTGACCACGAGTCATACCGACGATCATGCCATGACTGCGAGTCATACAGACGATCATACCGTGATCGCGAGTCATACCGACGATCATTCCGTGATCGCGAGTCATACCGATGATCACGCCGTGACCGCGAGTCAATCCGACGATCATGCTGTGACCGCGGAATCATACCGACGATCACGCCGTGACCACGGAGTCATACCGACGATCACGTCGTGACCGCGAGTCATACCGACGATCACGCCGTTACCGCGTAGTCTTACCGACGATCATGCCGTGACCGCGATTCATACCGACGATCACGCCATGACCGCGAGTCATACCGACGATCATTCCGTGACCACGGAGTCATATCGACGAACACGTCGTGACCGCGAGTCATACCGAAGATCACGCCGTTACCGCGTAGTCTTACCGACGATCATTCCCTGACCACGAGTCATACCGACAATCACGCCATGACCGTGAGTCATACAGACGATCATACCGTGATCGCGAGTCATACCGACGATCATTCCGTGATCCCGAGTCATACCGACAATCATTCCGTGATCCCGAGTCTTACTGATGATCACGCCGTGACCGCGAGTCATACCGACGATCATGCTGTGACCGCGATTCATACCGTCGATCATGCTGTGACCGCGATTCATACCGTCGATCATGCTGTGACCGCGAGTCATACCGATGATCACGCCGTGACCGCGAGTCATTTCGACCGTGAGTCACAAGTTTCAATACCTGCAAATTTTTACCCATTTTTTTGTTTTTATAGATCAGTGCCACAAATGGTAAAAATTGTTTGTATTTTTTGGTAACTGCAATACTCAAGACTTTCTTTTTATGTACAGGAAAAAATCCCGTCCCGTCCCGTCCCGAACTAAAAAAGTCAATTCCGTCCATCCCTACTTATCATCAAACTTATCTAATTACAAAATTCCAATACAGTTGTACAATCAAATGTGTGACTTTTCAAAACCCTCATTATCAAACTTATCTTACTTACTTGGATACTTGGATACTTGGAGAATTCCCACTGGTATCGCATCAGCGACGTGATCGTCATTTTTTTATACATTTCTTGATATTAATTTATATAGATGGATTCATTTCCTCTTCAGGGATGTACATGGCCTAGACATATATTTCATCAACACTGTAGTAGGCTGCTTGACTTAAGAATGTTTTTGGCAGGTTCTTGAATTTGTTGATAGAGGGCTCTTGCGTGATGTACTGAGACAATTTATTTTTATACTATTGAAGTAAGGGCTCTTGCTTGCAAGGGTGGAATCTGATTTACTTTACTATGTATTTGAAGTTCCACTGTTTTGTTCAACTCATTGATGCCAAAATGTTTTGTTTATAATGTATATATTTTTTTTTTTTACATTATGTATTTTACCTCATATGCATTTAAACATGATATGTCCATGTTTAAACAAAATAAAAGCCAAAAAATAATGAATCTGAGCCCTTCTCCTCTATAATAATTTTAAAAAGAAGCAAAACAGGCGCAAATGTCTACCATCCCTTCTAATCCCACTAATAATGTCAAATTCCACTCTGGATACCGCTTATTTAAGGTGGGCCCTTCCACCGGCTAAGCCCCACACATTACAAACCCCACATGTTGAAAAACTACAACACTTCACTCATCACTATACTAATGCGCAGGACTTTGGTCCAAGAGGTCCCGGGTTCAAATCATGTTTAATCGCCAATGGATTTTATCTTAGTAATAATGCCGCAACCCCTAAGTCTGGCCTGAAGTAATGTGAAAAATAATCCAGGGCTCGTGCCTAGCGTCCTAGGCCAAAAAAGCCAACATGTCACCATTAGCCGGCCGGGATGAGTACCTTTATAACCACATCGACACTAGGTTAGATTTCACAAATTAATCAAGAAATGCCAGTGCCCAGTGTGTAGGCAGTACAGCCACCTTCCAGCAAATTGTGGCGATGACCTACACTTGTGACATGGCGTCGATGGGCTAAAAGAAAGTTATCTGTTACCATTAACTGTGTGGTAAAAATCTTTTATATCGATCAAATTTTTTTTAAACTTTAAGAATCATTTTCCAGTACAGTAATGATAACCAAAATCATTTTGCGCCATTTTTTATTTTTATTTTACATTTTTGTTGTTGGACAAGCAAATCTTATGATAGTGGAAAATTTGTAACAATTTGAATAACCACCAATGTGATAGGCCTATTTAAATGTTTCGTTTTGTTTTATTTATCTATTGTGTGCGTGTGACAGTAATGTCTTTCTGTGTTTGTACCCTGACGATGCCGTATTAACTGTGAAACATGTAGGTTTTTAACCTAACATCAAAACATTTGGATTACTTGACAAGGTAATTATACCACAATATTATAGTCATTCATAGTAATCCAGGGGCCATCAACATGGAATTTAATTGAATAACCCATCCTATTACTCAAAATAACTTCATTTGTTACCAATACTCAAAGTTAGGCTAGTCGAATTGCTCAACCAAGCTATAGCCTACACAGTCACAACTTTTAAATCAATGAATTAAATGGTATTTAATTTATACACAAAATACCATTGTGGAACCAACTAGTTTTAAAAATAAAAAAGAATTATACTACTATAAAACTCTTCAATGTAAATATCCAACAAAATCTGAGGTGCTAATATTTTTATTTGTTGTTGTTTCAGGCAGGAAATGTAGTTAAACAAAATATTGATTATTTTGTTATTTGATATTTCACAACTAGCTTAACTAGTAGTTTGAAAAAAAATAGTCTTTGTTTGGGAAATTGAATGATAATAAAGCTTCGTTTTAGAAATAAGTTTATTTTCAAATACAATAAAAGGCATTTGTTAACAATGTTGGGAAATAAAATTGATAATTCGTCCGAGGATTTGTATATCAGCATGTATACAATTCATTAGTTCATCCAATAATTGTAGTTATACAATTTGTCTAAAAGATGCTAAGGTAAATGTTTATTTTGTTCTCGCTTTGAGCTGAGTATGTTAACTGTTATAACTTCCAATTAGAGCCAGTCTTGGCTCAAAATATGAAACAGCTGTGCAGAACGGTGTGCTCATATTGGAGAAAATAGCTTATATAGAAATGTACTAAATGATATTAAATGCGGAATCAATATGGGTTTTATAGAATTTTTTTTGTGGAGAATGATGACCAGTATGTCATTTTGAGTTAAAAATGTCAACTATAATATTCTTAAAACTTTCAGAATAGCTAGCAATTTATTTAATAACATATTTTTAGAGAACAGTGGGGTAGGATTTTAGACTTACCCTTTTATCTCAGCAAAAGTTTTAAAAGTCAAATAATTGACAAATTTATTTTTTTTGTCATAATTAATATAATTTTTCTTGTTATAGGAGTCATAAAATGATTTTACATTACTCTTTAGCGCCATCCTTAATATCCTTAGT